TCAGTGCTCCTGGCAAACTAACAGGACAATTCCAGATACCCCGCTCAACCTCCAAGGAAGTTTAAATTAGGGCACTGGTAACGGCCACCTCAGTCCGGTGAAACCTGTAGTCATGTGCGGGACTGAAGGCTTTCTTCTTCTTCTTCTTTTTCTTCTTTTCCCTCTCCTTCTTCGTCTTCTTTTTCTTCTCCTTCTTCTGTTCTACTGTCAGAAAGTTTATTCACGTACGGTTTAGTGTTTACAAAAAGAAACATTAATGCCTATTTTTATCGGCAGAGCGCATGATGATGATGACTTGTCGGGTATCGATTACAGATCCACTTGGCCCGGGCGAACTGGAAGTGGATGGAGAGAATACAAACACGGACAAACAAGTTGTCGGGTTTAGGGAGATGGTAAAGGCTTCATTCATTTATTATTTGACGTTGTTTGTCCTTGGGTTTTTACTAAATAACAACAGTGTGCAACATGATGATGATTGCAGTTGATTGTGTTCACAGTTGAAAAATTGCACCGGAGCTTAGTGTATAATTATAATTTTAAAGGATTAGAAACTTAGAAAGAAATAGCTTAAATTGTGGGATTTTTTTCCCCTGCGAATATCAATATAACATTAACAATAAGAAATTAATTATCACAAGCCGTCTTTTTGCCATCGGAGAAAATATTTGCAAGGTAAACTACAGAAATGTTTACATCTTGAACTGTATTAGTATTGCAAATGAATAAATAAACTATAATTTTTATCAGTCATTTAGTATTTGCTAAATATTACTCAGGTGCCGTCTCCACAGTGAAGGACGGCTGCAGTGTATCTTTAACAACACACTTGATAGAATACTCTCTCAGACTACTGTCGACCATCTTTCAATCAATATTGTCATCTCACCTGTTTAGCTGTCTAACTGGGCTATCCTCCCAATAACTGTCCTTAATTATCGAGGCGGAAAATATACCCTAACAGAGCCTCAGTCACGTGTCAGTTGCGCACTTCCGGGGACTATAACGCCACCGCCGAATTGCAAACTTCCGGAGACTTCCGCCACCCCCGATAGCATCCCACACTCTGCTCACGCGGCCTGGATTGGGGCTGAACTAGATGGCTAGGACTCACGAGCAAATAAAATGAAGGAAGCTGCAGGAGATGCGGTGGCTGCTGCTCGTGAGTCCCAGCCATCTAGTGTAGCCCCAATCCACGCCGCGTGAGCGGAGTCAGGTATACTCTCAGCGGTGACAGAAGTTGCCAGAGGTGTGCAATTTAAGACGACGGAAGTGCGCAATTGACACGTGACTGAGGCTCTGTTAGGTTATATTTTCAGCCTCGATAATTTAGGACTGTTATTCGGAGGATAGCCCAGTTAGACAGCTAAACAAGTGAGATGACAATATTGATTGAAAGATGGTCTTCTGTATCTCCACATCTCCAGAGACTCATTTCTTTCTATCACTGTCCAGGTTTCTGTACCACACAGTTGGGTTGAGTATACATGACATTTGACAGTTCTCAGTTTACTGTAGTATTTATCTCTAACTTTAGTCATTTTTGTATCTTGTTCAGGATATTTTAGCCATTTCTTAATCCATAATTTCTGTTTCACTTCAAAATTTTATCTGTTATTACATGCCAAAAATAGGAGAAACTTGTTACTTGTTCAGATATCTCTCTCCCAATTGCTAACTCTTTCATTGCTACATACTCTGCAGCCATCGTTACCACTGTGCTAAGCAGATTCCCCGCTGATAGTCTCTCCTGTGCTGAATACTTTTCTTACCTCCAAACGCAAAAGATGGATCGGTGGTGTGGGCTATATATTGTACACCTAAATATATTCACTCTACGGAGGTGGGTGGTTAGCTCAAGTGTTGACAGTCAGACCCACTATGGCAACACCAAGAAACCTTGCATTTACAGAAAGGAAACACTAGAAACTAGATTTAATTGCCCAGCTTCACTAGGGATAGTGAAAGAAATGTATCCTCTGCTAAGTGTACTTCATCTTATCTCCACTGCTGCAGTATATGTAGTAGAAACTCCATCCTTTTATCAGAAGGAAAATTTTTCGGGGGAATCTTCTGACCCTTTTACCTTGTTTATGTTTATTCAACGGATCAACATTAGGGCACAAGGGTGGATAGTATGAGACAATTTTTATTCTCCCATCCTCTACTTTATTGTTGTCTCCACCACTGCTGTTTGTTTATTCATTGACCATATCCTCTTGTTGATCACTGGGGATCCATTTCAAGTCCTATTGATGTTAACTCCATTAATTCTTTATCAGCTTTAACCACTTTTCATGCCATTTTGTTAAAAGAAAATGTAGACTAATGCAAAACTCAGGGCAATAAATACAGTTTATCGACCACACTTGTATAGTAAACAAAGCAAACTGGATAACTTGGAGTGCATCTAAATATACCAAAATGCATGGGAAGGTGTTTAATCATATGAAATGGGTTAGATGGGACTGAAATCTGGCTAATGTATATTGCCCTCTGAATCTCAAGAATGCTGTCCTTAGAAGTCTGTTAAAGAAGTCAAAAACATGTTTTTATCCCCATAGCAGAGAGGGCCAAGAAATCTGATAATGTAGCAGTGTATGGGCAAACACTAAAATACATCCTTAGCAGCAAAGGGATTAATTATCATAGTTTTCTGAAAAAATTATATCTGAACCATAGTCTGTACTCTGCCTGTTGACTTCATCCACTAAGTCCTGTAACCCTTGCTCGCTTTTTGCTTGTAATACCATGTCATCAGTCAATCTCAGACTGTATATATTTTCCCCATTGATGTTCAGTCCAGGCAATTCTCCAACTTGTTTAAAAAAATTGTTTTATATGTAAGATGAAAAAGGCTTGGGGAAATCACACATCCTAGTTGTACTCTTTTTATCTCAATCTATGGTGAATAATGTTAACAGTTAATGTGTAGAAATTCATAAAATATATGAAATGTTTTAGGAGAACTTCTTACATTTCAACTCTTAATCCTAGTTTTTTTTTTTTAGGTGCACTATTACATCATTCACTTAACACTCCAGATCATGTCCATTATCAAAGACATTTGTGCAGGTGACAAATTAAAAAGGAAAAATAAAAAAAAATAAAAAAAGAGATTCATGAGAACTCTTTAAATTTAGTTTCCACTACATAATAGTCACAATCATTTTATTTATTTTTGATAGGTGTGGCAAACTAACAGATGGCAGTAATGCTACTTGGCTGTTGACATTTTATTAATTTCTGCTGGGATGTTGAAGTTCCTTCACTTTTTACCATTCTCACTCCTCATTTGGTAAGTGTTTATAGTAGTTAAATGGTGCCTTTGCAGAATAAAACACATTAAATGGCGTGCCAGTGTCACCAATAGGGGCCTTAGAGAGATAAGCTAATGTCAAAGAATCAAATGGGATGACAGTCACTAATGGGGACCTTAGTAAGAGAACTGAGCAAATGTCAAAGAATCAAATAGAATGACAGTGTCACTAATAGAGGTCTTATGGATAGAACTGAGCAAAAGTCAAAGACAGATGGGATGACAGAGTCACTAATAGGGGCCTTAGGGAGAGAACCAAAGAATCAAATGGGATGACAGAGTTACTAATGGGGGCCTTAAGGAGAGAACTGAGCAGATGTTAAAGAATCAAACAAAATGACAGTCACTAATAGGGGCCTTAGGGAGAGAACCGAGCAAATGTCAAATAATGAAATGGAATGACAGAGCAATGGGAGCTGTAGGAAGAGAAATAAGCAAATGTCAACGAACGAACAAACTTTATTTTCAAAGGGTTACGAATTGGGCACGCAGGCCCGTCTGACATTCGGCCCTTCAAAACACTCATTTTTCAGAGTACCAATGCCTGTTATCAATAATGCATCTTATGGATTTAATAAGGAAATATACATTATGGAATAATGTAAACACACATCATGTGTACACAATCTTACACACTCAAACACACACACACACATACATATACATACTCTTACATTCTCATACATGCACACTCATATACATACGTAATACATACATACACGCATCTACATACATACACAAACATAATACATACTTGCATCTGCATACATACACAAACATAAAACACACACACATACATACATAGAAATACATGCATAAACAGAAAACACACACATACATACATACATACATAGACATACATGCACACACACATTCCATACATACACACATGCATGCATGCATACACACACATACAGTAACAATCAATAGGTGAGGGGGAAAAACACTGGTACACATAGCATTTTGTGGCTTAGGTGTTCTGAATGACCTTTGTAATGCCAGGGTGCCGGGTTCGATCCCAGCTTCGGGCCTTGCGTTGGTTTCGACAGTAGTATCAAGAAGCCGACAGTAGTGAAACGGTGTCATCATTCTGAAGCAGCAGGTTTGAACCCTCTATGGTATCTGTAGCTTTTTTAAGAGAAACCACATTACTATTCGCCTGATTTATTCTCATTATCTTTGTCTTTCCTTTATGGATTTTCAGACCAAGCTGCTGTGATCTCGCATCAAGTATATTTAATTTATCTTGCATTTGATTCTGTGAATGGGACAGAAGAGAAATATCATCAGCGAAGTCCAGATCCTCGTGCTGTTTTGTAGGGGTCCACTGAATTCCATTCTTGGTGTTAGCGGTTACTGTCTTCATAATCCAGTCTATAGCCAGTAAAAATAAGAGGCGACAAAAGACATCCCTGTCGTACACCTGTTTTTTTTTTTTTCAGATGTACCAGTGCAAGGACATCTCAGTTATACTGCTTTCATATTGTCTTGTCATTTTTGTTTTCCAGTGCATTTGTCTTTACTTCACCTCCTGCTTCACTGGAATTTGTTTAAAACATATTCTTATATTTTATAATATTCTTCTGATAAGTTTTAATGTAGTTTTTTTTAATGTCGTGCAAACCTACATAGACCAGCAAAATTTTTCCATCTTTCATCCCAGGATCTTCTGAGCCATATTATGACAGGACTAACCACATCTGAAGCTTTACAGAAACTTCATGCAGAAATAGATGAGCTCCTCAGTAGCCATGAAGAGGAACTGCGGAGGACCTACTGGAAAAGGTTCATATGTCGCATGCAAGACAAAGCTTCTTGTTTCACCCCTCTCTCTTTTCTGTGGATATTTGGAATGGCAGTGCTACTTGTTGTAGCAGCATCAATGGAAGATGTGGACAAGTAAGTCAAAGTTATATAACAATTGTTGTGCTGTATCTGTGTAAAGTTAAGCTGACTTATGTGTGATGTTATTTAACAATTGTTATACTGTATCTGTGTAAAGTTGCGGCGTCCGTGGCTAAGGCGTTGCGAGTCCGACTCGTAAGCCAGCATACCGCGATCGAAACCCACTGCAGGCTGCATGGATTTTTATCGTCACAGGTCGACCCAGCCTAAAATGGGTACCAGGATGGGCTGTCCTGGGAAAGTAAAGACAGCCGGCGTAATGCTGACCACATTACCCACAGAGTGCTGATGGTCTGTAAAAATATGGGACGCTCTGCCCATATGCCCGATGCGCCGAAAGGCGTGAAAAGGGATCTTTACTTTACTTTTTACTTATCTGTGTAAAGTTGAGCTGACTTATTTTTGATGTTATTTAACAATTGTTGTACTGTATCTGTGTAAGGTTAAGCTGTCTTACTTGTGTTGTTTGGCTTACACATCACACTTTATCATAGTATATTTGGTGTCTTGTAGACATGTCTCTAAAGTGAGTCAGGAAAGCGACTGTTACAGGGAAATGGTACCAGTTGGAAGTGTCAGTTTTTTGGCTTCTCAAGGCAGAAGGGTTTTAAAGCGGGACATGTTTATGTCTGGTAAGGTTACTATCTCATTCCTTTAGACCCAACATTTATTAGTTACAGTTAACAAGTGATTCAGATAGAGTGATTTTAACTTAATTAGTTAGTCTTTTGTCTTGAGCCTAGGGCAGAGGTTATAACTCTCCATGTCAGGCAGTTCCTTGCAACCAGTTTTAGGTCTTGGATGTTCATTAGACCCATAGTTAAATCTTCCCTAATGATGGTTCTACGCAGGATCTCTCTTGGTCTTACCTGTTATCTTTTCCTTTTCAGTGTCCATATGACGGCTTGACGGGGGAGTCTTGCCTTATCAATTCTGAGTGCATGGTCGATGTAGTTCCAGTGGTGCTTTCTTATAAAATTGGCTACATTATATCTTGGTCTCTTGTCTTATTTGCATATTGGATCTGAAATCTGTCTTATCGATATTTAGTATTCTTCTAAGACATTTGTTCTCAAAATTATATATTGTTTTTAAAAATTTTTTAAATTAATCTAGAACTACCGTTGCTTTCTAACTCTTGCATCCATAAGATTGGTTACAGTTTGGGATTGATCAGGTTTAAAATATAAGATCCAGTTTATCATTGAGTATATGTTGTTAGGGAGTCGCCGAGGCAGAGCGGCTAAACGCTCGCCACGGATCGGAAAGTCATGGGTTCGCTCCCTGGCGGAACAACTTTTTTTTCAAAAACGACCTTGGCTCCCAGGTCAACCCAGCCTTGAGTGGGTACCGGGTGCAGTCCCGGGAAGTAGAGACGGCCGGCGTGATGCTGACCACATCACCCATCTTGTGCCGATTGGTCTATAAAATATAGGTCTAGACCTATATGCCCTATACGCCTAAAGGCGTGGAAAAGGGTCCTTTACTTTTTTTTACTTATATGTCGTTAAGTAATTTCTCCTTTTGAGTAATTTCTTCTTTTGTTAAGTAATTTCTCCTTTTGTTAAGTAATTTCTCCTTTGTCATGCTCAGGTTTCCATCTGGCAGTCGGATGTGGTTGATCACTGAAGCAGTATTTTTACTGGCTTCTATAGTTCTCAACATTGTGCTACTTTGTTTGAAAATGAGAAAGGAACATGGAAAACATATTGCACTGAAGAGAAAACTGTTAAATTTGTTACAAGGTGAGTTCAGTATTTCAGACTGAATGAAACAGGTCAGGTATTTTAGTATAGATTTGGTTTGTAGAGGTTCAACTATTCACTATGCAATTGCATTACAAAAAAAGTGGCCATGAAAATGTGGGAATTTCCAGAAAAAAATCTTTTTAAAACTATCCAAATTACACAGGTCATAAATAGATTTTAAAAAAAATTGTTATCTACAATTTCGGTAGGTAGGTAGGTAGGTATGTAGGTAGTTGTACCCCACCGGTAGTTGTACCCACCTGGACATCACACAAGCGATAAACACCCGGTGAAACAAAGTGCCACCATGCGGATGAGGATCACCCGTGGAGAGGTCCCAGAAACCCCTTTCAGCCGTAAGGCCATATCTATGGCTAGGCCATATCTATGCCCCGGCTATATTCAGGGCTTCCGGTAGAAGCCAGGGTGGGGCTTCAAATTAAAAAAAAATTGAATTCCACATGGGGACTACAATTTAAATTTGGCTGAAGAGAACAAGTAGTCTTTAGACTCCCCACAGGACATAATATGCTGAAACACCACTTGTTCATTAAGCTTAAGATAGGAGACACTGATGATTAACTGTGGAAAGGGTAAAATGATGGCCAAACACTTGCTGTCCAACATATGCAGAGCAGAGAAAATTATTCTGGCTAGCAATTGCTGAGGAGATGTCAACAACCTCTAGTTGACTGCTGATTTCTTTAAATGTATTCACATTGATTTCTGAAGGTATGAGAAGAAGAAAACTGGAATTCTTGGAGCTGATAGCCCCTAGAGATACAGAGTTCATAAACCATGACATATGAAGAAAATGAAACAGACCCATCTGCCCCTATGCATCTATGTGGAAAAGTTATATAAAACTGGTGGATGAGGAAGTCTACTGCAGTAAAATCTAACATGCAAAAGATGCATAGTACACATTTTTTGTGGCTAATGGAAATCCCAGGTCTGCAGGTTGCCTACTTTTGGCTTCTAAAAACACAGCCCATGATGAATGACATGTTCAGTATATGGAAGTGAAGTTAAGCAGTCATGAGCAGGATGTGACAATTCCTTGGGTGAGCCCAGTACCAGAGCACTATGTATTGGCTCTGCATTTATGGAAGCCTCCTTGGATGGCGGGAAATGCTCATGTCCTGCATCTGCCTTCTCTTTAGTGTTGATCAGCATTATGCGGCTTCTCTGGACCGGCCTGGTGTGAGCACCACCAGTGACCTGGGAAACAAATATGACCACACAATAAGGAGACTGCAGAGCCCCACGAAACTAACCAGGAAGGCTAACCTGGTCAACAAATGCCCCAGAAGTAGAATGTGTTGGCCGAAAGGCACAGATATTGCAACCATGCTGTAAACTGGTACAATGCAATTTCATCTCTATATGAATAAAGAAGAAGAAGAAGAATTTGAGTTCTGAATTGTACATGTGCTGCCATTAGACCTTAGCCACATCTGCCTTATTATGCATCAGTATTCCACCAAGTTGCGCAGAGCCAGCCAATCTGTCTGCCTGTTCATTTCTCAACACACCAGCCTACTCTCACACATCTCATTTCCGGCAAACCAAATGTGAAGGTATAAATGGAATTACAGGTGTTTTTTATCCACAGAAGCATCTTCCAGGCAGAACTGGCGGCCAGACCATTTCCCAGACAAGCATATCCCACTTTCTCCTTGTATTTCCTTACAATGGTGCATTCGTGATGGCGTAGTGGTGAATATGCCCCAACCTCTTCTAGTCCTTGGGGATGTTGTGGTCATGAGGCCTGGTCATGCTGCACCAGGCAAATGTCGGGCCGTAACGGTAAATAGAGACCACATATGTTTGTTATTTCACCAGATTCAAATAGTTTGTGAGGAAGAAATGAAGGTGAAAAATTAACTGTGTGAGCAGTTGCTTGTGATAGTGTGGGTCTGTGTATACATACATGCAGGTCTGTCTGTCTCTGTTTGCCTACCTGTCTGTCTGTAGAAAAATTAAGAATATTAAGAAAGTTCAGAGACCATAATATTTAAAGGCTAAGAATTGACATGATCATACTTTGATATTTTCATAAATGCACTGTCCCCATGTTTGGTAACCTGCAAAGTATTCCCATACTAATGATGCCAGTTTGAATCATCTTCTTCTTCTTCTTAGCGTTCACCAGTTATAAACTGGGTTGTGAACTTTCAGAACTTTTTTTTTTAGTGCAGCTTTTTTTTTTAGTCAGAACTTAGGTAATCTCTGTTAAAAGAAAGGACAAGACCTACAAACCTGTTCTAGACTATATGGGTTTGCCTTTCAGTTGTAATCAGGAAAATTAAATGTAACTTATGTTTCTTGTTAGAGGACAGTAAGATACAGGGTGATAAATTGACTAGCAGATTTAACTGCTGTATATTTTATCGTAATAAAGAAGTTTCAAGCTGATGGTAAAGTGATTTTAATTGCAATATGCCAGTAAATTGCAAGGTAACAGATTGTCTGTAATATATTCATTATCAAGTCTCTCATTGTAGGACAGTAAGTTACAGGCTGATTGTCTGGGGATTGTAATTCACATGTCATGGTATGAGGACAGTAACTGTAAATTATGGGGTGAAAGATTATCTAGTGATTGTAATTATAACGTTTCTCATTGTAGGAGGACAGTAAATTACTGGGTGAAAGATTGTCTGTTAATTATAATTCTCAAGTTTCTCATTGTAGTAGGACAGTAAATTACAGGGTAATCTTTCTTAAGTTATAGGTGATATATTTCAGGTGATCTTGCTTAAGTTATAGGTGATATATTTCAGGCGATCTTTCTTAAGTTAATAGGTGATATATTTCAGGTGATCTTTCTTAAGTTATAGGTGATATATTTCAGGTGATCTTTCTTAAGTTATAAGTGATATATTTGAGGTGATCTTGTTTAAGTTACAAACAACAGATTTCAGATGATGTTTCTCAAGTTACAGGGTGATATATTTAAGATTATCTTTCTTAAATTACAGTTGATAGATTTCAGGTGGTATCTTTCTTATCTCTTTCATACCACATTTTTTCGCGGGTTTGGACAGCAATAATTTTGAGCGGAATTTTTTTTTTACTGCAACACGACAAAGCTAAAACCTTCCTGAAGAAAATTATTGGCTGTATCGGGACATAAAATATATCAAATTAAAGATAAATGAGTGCAGAATAAATCTAAACTTTTTAAGTGTCAGTATTGCAACATAATAAGACACATAAAGATTATTTACATAAAAAATGTTGTGCTTACCTTACTTTTTTAATTGTTAAACAACACTGCTATACATTTCTAAGAATGCACTTGCCTTCTCTGTTCAATTATGTATTAGCTAGTCTTTATTTGAAACAATTATTTTAAATACTTTGGATGTAATGATCAATTTTTTAATGACATGTCAAATTTCACAACAACCGAAAATTAGGAAAACAGCTGATCGAAACATTGATCCGATTGAAATATTTTGTTCATTTTTAATATCCTAAACTAAATTATCGCCAATAGGTTTGTCACTTAGATATCAATCATAATATCGTGACTGTTGTCATCATCTGGCAGAGAGTCATCAACAACAGAGCAGTATGAACAGTTCTAGACCTTCTCCCTTATTATTTAGTAGAGAAAAATCACATAAAAATTGTATTACATCTAAATAATTTTGTTAAATCACAAAATGGTGCAAAAGCCATGCAGAACATTGCAAACAAAATTTCTTCCTAATCCTAATTTTTCAAAAACTTGTTCATAAAAGTTTGTTTTCCCCACAAACGAACAAAATTAGAGTGTCTCTATGATACTCCAAATGGGGACCAGTCTGATGGGGATAAATTCTAAAGCGAGTTAACTGGTGACTAGTCTTCAAAGAGTTAAGTTACAGGGTGATAGATTTCAGATTATCTTTCTTAAATTACAATTGATAGATTTCAGGTGGTATCTTTCTTAAGTTACAGGGTGATAGATTTCAGATGATCTTTCTAGAGTTACAGGTTATAGATTTCAATTGATCTTTTCTATTTCAGGAGGATGGTGAGTTACAGGCAGGTGAAAATTATTTTCCGGAACCTCCGCAAGCAAAAGGTCAAGGTCCACAGCCACGTTTGCCAATGTCCACAAAGAAGTTTGTTTTGGAGGAAACCCCCATTGTCAAGAATTTTAGGTATTACAATGTGATTCTTGTTACTGGTATTTAATTGTTGATTCTTTTGTGTTTAAAATTCCCTTAGAATTCTTGTTAACAAGTTAGTTAGTTAGTTAGTCGACAGATTGTCCTTTTTTAGCACATAGAACCATTCAGTCCATAAGTGCTCGGGTCCCATTCACAGTAAATTCTGCTGCATGTAGCGGCTGATAACATCAGTTCTGTGTTGGTTTCTTATTCTTCTTTGGCTTCCTACATAGTGCTTTTGTCTGCGCCCCCGTACACCCCTTTTTTGTGTGTTTAACTTGCTGGTCTTGGTTGCAGATTCACACGCCCTTGGTTCTCACAAATGTAATACTTCTAGAGCATTCAGCATTTCAGCCTACTCTCAGCTTTTCTTCATGACATGTTTATTTCTTACTTATCATACCTTGTTGTGCCTACCACATCCTGGCCTGTACTATCGTACTTGAAAATCTAGACCCTTAACTTGAGCTTCCTAGATCTTAATGTTAATGAGGTTTTACTGTATCTAGTTAGTTCTTGATATTAGCTCGAATTTAGTCACTCTTTTTCCTTCCTTTCATTTTCCTACTTCAGAATGCTGCCTAAAAGTATCATCTTCTTCTTTGTCTTCAGTTTCATATGCTCAGGTCTGACCATCAAGTAGGTGGCCTCTATGAACTCATTTGTCAGAAGCAGGTCCTTCATGGTTCCCTATAGCCTGCTCCTCACACTTTGCTCTTGAGGCCAGGTTTCTTTTTGAAGTTGTATCTAGAGTTGGCAGGTCTGCAGAATGTGCTCAGGTGGTTATGATCCTGTTTGACAGGCACACTGGGGAACTGTACAGTTTTTATTTTATGCATGTAGTAGTTGAGCCTGCAGTGTCCTGTTCTTAGACAGAAAATTGTTGTGTGTTGCTTTCTGTTGAGTCTGCTAATGGGGTCTTATGGATGTTTACTATTGGTTTGTTCTGTCCAGAATGCCTTGTATTTTCCTTTGATGAGTGTTTAGATTTCTGGTAATGACAATGAATGGGTATGTTGTTTCTCCTTTGTTCCATTTTTTTGCAAGTCTGTCTGCTAATTCATTTCCTGGTATGCCACAGTGAGCCAGGATCCACTGGAGAGTGATTTGATTGTTTTCTAAAAGTCTCTTTAGCTGGTGGGTCAGTTATCTCTCCTTGTTGCCTCATGGATCCCTGTGAGTCACCTAGAGGACTGACATGCAGTCACAAAGTAAAACAATTTTGCTGCTTTTAATTTTTCTTTCCTCAAGCCCTTTGGTTGTATCAGTAATTGCTTGCTGCTCTGCTCTGAAGTTTGTTGAGAATCTTCCGGAGGCGCATGACGTTTCTACAGTGGTCCCATCTTGCAGCATGATTATCGATCCAGCTCCTTCGGTTTTTTCTGCTCCTACCAATGATCCATCGGTGTAAACATGTGTCCATTCCGGTTTCGGTGAGAGTTGTAGACATGTTCAAGGGTCTTTGCATGCAGTACTAGGTCACACTCTTCAGCCTGAAATTTTGACCACCCAAATACAAAAATCATAATATGGATGGCAAGCCAATAGGGCAAATCCTATATATGCTGTTCAGCCTCTACAGAAGTTATGATTGAAGCACCTGTAACAGCCATGTCAGCCTTGTGTAACCTACAACTCTATGTCGGTCAGAACAATTTCTATTTACTTGGCTCTTCTAGCATAACTGACTTTACATAAATTTTTCAGTTCATAAACCTGACAAACATATTTCTTATAACCGCAGAGCAATGTGCCAGGAAAACTCCAGCAAGCCCTTCAGTTTTCTGGAAAATGAGCGCCACACAGTGTGCAATATCTGGATGGAACGACGCTTCTTGCCTATCATATTTGTAAGTCCTAGCTGGCAATAGTTTATGTTTATTTTTGAGAGAACATTGGTCAGTTTACACATGCTAACAAAAACTGTCAGAAAATCTAAACTCAGAGAGGAGCAAAGTCAGTCGCTCATCATCAGCATCATCATCATCATCAAAAGCCTCATGGAGGCTTCTGGGCCCCCATTTTAAAGGGGAAAAAGAATAGACCCACTTCCCCACTTAACAAGCATATCTTACACATTAGCTGTGTGTAACTGGTTAATTATAACAACATAAACAAAAAGCATTATGTTTGGGGTTATGATGCTACATTTTGAAACTTAATGTCATAACAGAAATGCATATCTTTTAATTTTTTTTTTTAAATTGAACATGTATTTATCCATGTTTAATTTACTCTCTGTGTATCACTGCAGCTGATATTTCTGGCCATAAACACGTTTAGATATGTGTACATTGACAACAGTGGAGGTCATTGGAGTGAACTTATTTTAGTTCTTCAGGTGAGATAACAGCTGGTTGGTTTTGTGATTTATAAGTGTATGTTTTTCCTATAGCAAAACTACAGTTTGCAAAATATTCTTCTTTTCTTTTGTTGAGTGATACCACCACCATTGCCCCCACACCCCACACAAGCAGGGGGGAGAACAATGAGAGTGCTTTCCCCTGGGGGGGGGGGGGCAATGAGGGTGCTTTCCCCTTACAGGCGGGGGGGGGGGGGCAATAAGGGTGCTTCCCCCTTACAAGCAGGGGGGAGAACAATGAGAGTTCTTTCCCCTTGTGAGAGGGGGGGGGAGAGAACAGTGAGGGTGCTTTCCCCTTACAGACAGGGGGGAGAACAATGAGGGCGCTTTCCCCTTACGGGCAGGGGAGAACAATGAGGGTGTTTTCCCCTTACAGGCAGGGGGAGAACAATGAGGGTGCTTTTCCCTTACGGGCAGGGGTAGAACAATGAGGGTGTTTTCCCCTTATGGGCAGGGGGAGAACAATGAGGGTGCTTTCCCCTTACGGGCAGGGGGAGAACAATGAGGGTGCTTTCCCCTTACAGGCACGGGGGAGAACAACGAGGGTGCTTCCTCCTTACAGGCAGGGGAGAAAACAATCAGATGCTAACTCTACAACAAATCTAAAGTATTCACAATCTGGTTATTCACTCTCTCACACTGCTGTTTGTCTTCTTTTTCATTTTCTCTTTTACCACTTTGAATGTTGATGGAGACATGTGATTCTGCTTCTTGCTCTTCTGACTGCTGTGACCATAGACACATTATAATTTTGGAGACTTTCTCCAATGTTAATTTTCCATCTTGTTCTTGGTCTACCTTGTGCTCAACGTCTTTCTCCTCTGTTTATGTATGCTTTGTACGGTATAATGTCATAAGACATTCTTACCAAGTTCACAAATCATTTGATATTTTTTTTCTTTGTATGTAGTTTAGAACTGGTTCGGTGCCAACTTTTTCTTCTAGGTTTGTCTGCCACATACAAATATAACTAGGAAAATCAGTGAAGGAAAAGGAAAGACATACCCAAATAAATCAGAATGTTTCAATCCAAGTCTGTGTGAATGAATGAAACACAAATCCTATACTACAAACATGAAAGAAAATTACAGTTAATGGGGGGGGGGGGGGGGGGGGGAGTATTACCTTTTTTGGTGAAGGTTCTTGTTTTATTCATTTAAAAAAACTTTAGTCAAAACATTTTCCTTTGTTTGAGTCTCCTTTCAACTCCCTTGTATAAACAGTTTTTAAACTCTCTGTCATTTGACGCTCTCTCAGTATGTCCCAGCCATTCGGATTTGTTAGCCCTCTTGTGCCAGTAGTCAGTGGTAAATTAAACAGATTATGAATTTCTTGTTGCTTCTCACTCTCCATTTCCAGCTGTTTGCATCTTTGATGGGTCAAACAGACTGCATCACAAAGACATAAAATACTAGTAATAAAACAGTTACACAACATGGTGTAAAGAGATACTAACATAGTGTTTCTTATTATTAGATTTTTATTTATATTGACACGTAACAAACTATTATATAAGATAAATTCAAAAATTTAATTTTCTGTTCTTATGTGAAGTGGGGCACACAGTGGTTACATAAAAAAGTACAAGGCCCCTGACCTCGTATGCCCATGCAAGACTACACCACAGTTGATGATAGTGCCTGCAGTGGAAATTCTTGTACTTGTATGTTCCTGAAGCATTAAATTTGTTTAGATAAATATGTTTACATAAATTTGTAATAGGACTTGATCTCTCCAATACAGGTTCATGGCATTCTACCTCTGGTTCCTGTTCTGCTGCCTCTGATGTGGACTGTGGTGAACACTTTTGGCCAAGCCCATGTTTTTGCTGCATATGAATTTTTTCATTCACTACAGGTAGCTGATAATGCACACTTGGAACATTAGATGGCTGATGTAGCGTGATTTTGTAACAAATTAGAATGCTTGTTTTCCCTGTGTGGGTTTTGTTTTCCATGTGTGGGTTTTGTTTTCCCTGTGTGGGTTCCAGACCCTCATTTAGGGGAAGGGGTAAAAGAAAAGAGTCACTGCCCTTTAAGAAGCATGTTGTAAATAAAAGTGACTAATTAAGAGTCCTTTCCCATTGCAACATACGCCTGTGAGACCTGGACACTTACTAAACAAGCGGAACAGCGGATAAATGCATTTGAATATAAATGTTACAGACAGGTTCTAAGAATATCTTGGGTAAAGAAAAGAACAAATGCATCCATACTTCAAGAGCTGAATATTGAAGAGGGTTGGCTAGTAAAGACAATAAAACAAAGAAAATTGAAATATTTTGGTCACTTGAAACGTCATGGAAGTCTAGAGAGAACAATAATGGAGGGGTATATGCCTGGGAAGAGAGGAAGAGGAAGGCCAAGGAGAAGATGGGTGCAGGATGTGGCAGATGATCTCCAGATGGGTGTATCAGACGCAGGACATCTTGCTCATGATAGGAAGGTTTTCCGGAGGGTTGTTATGGCAGCGAGGTTCCGCGAGGGACATGCTACTGAATGAATGAATTAAGAGTCTGCTGAAATCAGATGTCTTCTCTGTCACATTTTTGTTGTTCTACTGCTTATGCACATGTTTGATACAGTTTCCTGTCTTTTGCTAGTTGTGTAGTTTGTGTTAATGTCACATT